GTCTCATTTTTTCAAAAATTAAAACATACTACTTTTAAAACTCAAACTATATATCTTTTATACTTAAATTAAATCTCAAAAATTATTTTCATATACCATATTTTCATAATTAATCAATCGAAAAAGTTGACCGACAGTTGAGACATTTTATAATTTCATATTATAAAATATAAGTGCATACTAGCTCGCTTACATCCTTTGCTTGTTATCCCATTTGATGGCCATAAGCTTAATTCCTTACTGTTGTACCCTATCAAAACGTCACACTTGGCCTTAAGAACCTTTTTTGCTAGCACAAAATCTACTCCCCATCCAGGTTCGCATGCAACTTGCTTTTAGTACTTCCTTACACATGACCTACTCACACTCATCCTTGCTCCTGCTTCTGACTTTCGCAGCCTGCGCTTGAACCCAATATTTGCTTGCTTGAGTCGCAAACTTTAATCCCGGCCCACTGCCTCATGTGCTTATTGCATTTGCTTGCCCACTACTAAGAGCTTGATCTTTCTTGCCTCTCCCACTCTCAATATTCTAGGTAACATTTTTGATTCTCAAATTCTTCCTCATCAGACCTCATGACTTCACTGTCTTCTCAATGATTCGAACTCCTCCACCATAGGCACCATCATTATATGTAATGGTACCTACCATCCCTTTTATGTGGCTGAAGGCATTTCTCTTTCCTTTTTTTTTTTGGTTTTCTCTAGTTACTAATTATAGCATTTTAATGCTTTTCCATTGGCTCGAGTTGTTGTCAAGCTCTTAAGCTGTCAAGTATTCGATCTTGTTTTCCACATGGGATTGTTAAATAGTTTTGACCCTTTAATGATCATGATTATCATGTTTTAAAACACTGGCAAGGAGATACTCCATCTTGACTTTATTCTAAAGTTTTTTAAGAAAATATTTTCTCTTGTTTGGATTCTTTATTTTGAAAACCTTTTTTCTCTTTAATTATATGATATCTCCATTTAAGAATATTATTTTATCTTATGGGAGAGGTGTGGTGAACTTTTACAATATTGATCTTTAACTATTGATTTGATTGTCTCGAAAAGGGTTTTTTTTTATTGCCCAATTTTACAATTTCTAATATTATAAATGTTCTATTTTGAGTTTGAGCCTCTAAGGTTCCTAATCCATCTTCGCCAATTTTTTACCAGTTTAATTTTACCATGTGCCATTGTGGTGGCATGCCTTTAGCGGTTAGACTTATAGTGTTCATAGCCGTGGGGGGATTCTTTTTCCCTTTGCTTTCATTGTGGCTATACTAATCATCTCCTTGTAACATGAGCCAAATTTGAATATCCCTCGTTTGCGTAGCATACCCTTGACCTTTGTATGACAATTGTTTGAAGTTTTCACTTCCATCAATTCTTCAGTCTAACAGGATTATGATTATCTAGTTCAACACTCTCATACCATAGTCTTTGTCTCTCATGCTATTTCCTCTTTTGATTGTATTATTGTTGCTTATGTTTTGCAAGAAATTTTTAATTTTGTTCACATATGACATGTAATTGCCGTCTATTTCTTCCCTTCATATGCCTTTTCTTCTGTTTATCAGTGTTGTTAATGGTTCCGTCACAGTCGTGTATGAAAATAATATGCATATCTCCATTAGGGCTTATCTCTCCCTTATGATTTATTTATTCCTGAATGTTATGTTATCATCCATTTCTTTTCTTGTTAATACTCATAATTATTTAGTGACATTTTATCTATCTAATTGTGTTTTTTAGGATCTTAGCAAAATGATGATAATTGGTGGACCTGGAGGTATTGAATCTAGTGGAATCTATCACTTTTTATTTGACTAAATCTTTCTTTTTCACATCCTCTTCTAGTTATTGATTTTCAGTGTCTATTCCTCTTCTTTTTGAAACTCTTATGTTTATTGCTACTCTGTTTAAGCTTTACTTTTAACTATGCCACCTACCCCCAGAATAACACCTATCCACATTTTCAGATTTAACCAAGCATTCACCTACTATTGAGTTCTTTGATCTAAATTTATAAATTGCTTACAAAAAGATGACAATTTACGGATGGTTCTATTCACTCTCATATCATCATATTATTTAATCTCTCCCTTTTTATATATTCCTTGCTCTTGTTATTATATCTATTCCGAAGGTAAATTAGTAAAGCATTATAAAATCCTTGATGGAAATTTGTTATGGATGCTAAGATCTGTTCTCTACTGAGTCATCATACATAAGTATGGTTATGGTTATGGTTAAACAATTTGCTTGTTAGCTGGTACCTATTATCTTATGAAGTTCTGTAAAGCGTAATAACACTTTTGCTCTCCGGTTTAGTTGTTCTTATTTTTTCAACACTTGTTAGCATTCGGACCCACCGTTCATGAAATTTAGTCGCGTATAGCTTCTCAAAAGTATGCTAAGCAGCATAGTTGCTTGAAGAAAGCTACTCCGTGAGAGAGTATTTACTATTAAGTTTCATTTTGATCATTCACTCGATTGATATAAAGCTCAAGTGTTTGTAGAAGGGTTCATATAGAACTATTTAATATACTATTTTGATGTGTCTCTTATGTCGATAGGCCATCAATTAAGGATGGACTCTGCTACAAATGAATATAAGATTTGTCTTCTTCGACAATGGAGGCCTTAATATGGCGGTTTATATGGTGCAATCACTTTGATTATGTTGCTCAGGAGGAGAATCACATGTATTTGCTCAAGACGGTTGTTTCATTATTTGAAATAGATTCCTCGCATTTGATTTGAAAAATTATGCAAAGTTCTTTTTTGAGTTTGACTTTCCTCATAAGGACCACTCTATTTTCACTGGCCACATATGATCAAGCTCTATCATGATGGCTATTTATCTGGATAAATCTTACTCAATATTAGTGATTAAATGAGTATCTCTAAGGTTAAAAGTTATGTGCAAATGTATTTCATCTCTAACGATCTAGGACTATCAAGATATTTTTTTAGAGCAAAATTTGTTTAGAAGAAAAAGGTGATTCTCTTTCTTAGTGGAAATATGCAATTGATCTCTTAAAAAAATTAATATAAGTTAAATAGTTGCTAATTCCCTATAAATACTCTGAGCACTCTGTTCACTTTTGATAATGGGAAATTTTTAATCTATCATGATATTAAATGTTAAAAATTGATTTATTTAAATTTCAATAAGCTTGACATTTCATTTATTGTTAGTGTTGAGTGCCAACACATGCTAATTATAAAACAAAAACATTGGTAGGTTCTCTTTTCATATTCATATTATTTTATATAAAGTGAGCATTTCAATCTAATAACATTTTTTTATTTTAATTATGTTGTTTTCATTGACAATAACAAGTCAAAACCTCTGTTTTATATTTTTATCGGAGGTGATCTGATCACCTGAAAATGTATGAAAAAAATTTATAGCTGTCATATAAGTGCTAACTTTGAAGATGGGGTTGTGGCATACAAGAATTTGATTTTTTTTTTGCACACCCAATAATTTTGTATTATGATAATTCAGCTACCATCTACATTGCCAGAAACTGTGTTCCATGAAGTCAACCTCTGTATGTTGATTATGTCGTTTTGATTAATGATAGAAAGTCAACCTATATATATTGGGAAACCAATCCTTATTTACAAACTTTCCAAGTATGTCTAATCATATTTAGAGAATTTGGTATAAAGTATATTTTCCTTCAAACCCTGTAGCATAGCATTCAAGTGGTCTGTATTACTGACTTCAGCCCTTGAATACACCAGAATATCATCTATAAAGACAATCACGAAGTTATATAAAAATTGTCTGATCATCAGATCCATAAAAATTGTTGGAGCATTTGTTAGTCCAAATAGTGTCACTATTAGTTAATAGTGCTCATATCCGGTCCTGAAAGCTATCTTCGTTATGTGTTATTCTTTAATCCTTAACTGGTGATAGCCTGAGCTCATATCAATCTTTAAAAATACAGAGACCCCTTCCAACTGCTCAAATAAGTTGTCAATCCTGGGCAGTTGATACTTATTTTTAACTGTGAGCTTATTCAACTCTTTGTAGTCAATGCACATCCCGAAGCTCCCATCATTCTTCTTCAAAAATAATACTGGACTTCCCCAAGATGAGGTGATGAGCACCTTATCTAGTAATTCTTGCAGTTGGCTCTTTAACTTCTGCAACTCCTTAACTGCCATTCTGTATGGTGCCTTGGATACTGGCTCAGAATCTGGCAAGCGCTCGATAGTGAAATCATTATTCTTATTCTTTTATTCTTTTGTTCATTTTTTATGTTTCATAGGAATATATTGTTTCTGTTTTTGAAGATGTACATACATACCACTAAATTCGTATGTATTTACACGTGTAACACCTTAACTTCAACTTTTACAGACATAACACCTTACCTATGTTTGAAAGGGTCTATTTCACTTTTTGAAAGTTAAAAAGGTGATAGTTTGGACTTGAGATGAAAGATTTGGGTGATATAAATGTAGAAAGTAAAGTTTAGGTTTTAGATATGTAAATATATAGGAAAATTGCTCGAACTGTTTGAAAATAATGTTTTCCTATAATATTTTAAATTTTACCAATCTGGCAATGAGAGTACAAGATATGTTATCATTCTATGTATAACTCTTTCTCCTATAGTTCTTCATTGTGTATAACTTTCAAATTATGAGCACAATAGTCCACGAATTAGTTTAGGAAGACATTTAATCTTTCCATGCATTTATTTTACAAAATACAACATTTAGAAATCTCAAATTGCCTTCATTAAATAATAGCTAATTAAATTGGATTCCTTGCACTTCTTAAAATAAAAGTGTGAAGTTACAAAATTATCCCTTGATTATTTACATGGGATTATTTTAGTCCCAAAGTCTATAAAAATGCTAAATTAGTCCCTAGACTCCTTAAATTGAAACTGAATTGACATTTTTATATACCCTGGGGCTAATTTTGACACTTTTCTCAAAAGTAAAATTAACTCTAATTTTTATTTTTTTTTTAACCTGCAGTACCATACAATGCGCAATGCCTTATTCATGGCAAAGTTTGAGTTTGAGAAGGTACCAAATCCCTATGCCAAATCACTGAGTTATTATAAAAGATTATTTACATTGTTCACTTGTTTTTTTTTCCCGTCATATTGAGTAACAGAATATTTTTTGTGTATATTAATCTTGATATTGTAATGATAATTATTCGAGTTTATATAGATTTAAACTATTTTATTTGTCAAATGGGTACTGTGGTATCGGTTTTGTCTCAACATAGCTTTGCCAAAACCATATTGGAGTATAAAATTAACTGATTATATAACAAATAAATGAACAAGAAAGCAATAGCAAATAAAGCTTCATCTATGGTTCTCTTTGCCACTTTTGAAGTAAAAAATCCATGCAATGAAAATCTTGCTTTAACAAAATTAAAAAGCAATCATATGAATAAAATACCATAGATAAAAGATTTAAGGATGTATTATCAAATATTAAGTTTGAAGTAAATTGTAACAGTAAAGCTAAACAATGGTTGAGGAGTTGATCATTTAATATTAGATGCAAATAAATGGTTTTCCTCTAGGATTGAAAGTGATGCAAAATGTTATTTGCAAAATTGCATTTTTTTTTTCTTGATGGCATAAAGCATAATTGTTCTATTTTGACTTGCCATCTCAAATTATTTCCTTGAAAAATCCTTGAGAAAGGGTGTAATGATACTCTTCAGAATTTGTATACTGTATGAACATTTTTACTTTTTATTGTGACAATTTGTATTTATCACTTTAACCAAACACTACTTTATATACTATATTGATTATATGTGCTGTCTTTATTTTTATTGTTGTACGAGTCTAGCTTTCAGAGGAGCCAGATTGGAGATTACTGAAAGAAAACAATGAACAAATTGCATTTCTGTTCGGCAGCCATCTCAAATTATTTCCTTGAAAAATCCTTGAGATAAGGTGTAATGATAGTCTCTTAAGAATTAGTATACTGTATGAGCATGTTTACTTTTTTTTGTGACAATTTATATTTATCACTTTAACCAAACACTACTTTATATACTATATTGATTCTGTGCTGTCTTGATTTTTGTTGTTGTACGAGCTAGCTTTCAGAGGAGCCAGATTGGAGATTCCTGAAAGAAAACAATGAACAAATCGCATTTCTGTTCGGCAATGATGATCACTGGGGTCCGTTGTCATTATTTGAAGAGGTGAGTGAAGCCTTTTTTTTTCCTTAATAGAATTGTCCAATTAATTGTAAAACTATTACGGTTTTAAAGTACCTTATAAACTTCAAACTACTTTGCTGGTGAGATCAATCTGTACGTTACAAAATTCAATATGGATTTACCTTTTTACTGACCAAGAAAGACCATAGAAATTAGCTTGTTGCATGAATTTGACAAATAATTGTAGAACAGTACTTGCTAGTAGAGACAATCAAGCTATATATGGATCATTTCATATATACATTATGATGAAAGCTTGAACAATTGAATTTTACAACTAAATTTGTGTAGAGGAACATACAATGTTAAGTGTGGGGTCAAATTTGTAATTATTCAAGATTGTAGCTCTCTTCACAATTTCATAAATGGCGGCCATCAAATGTAGGCAGTTCTGGAGTCACAAACAGAGGCTTAGATCCAAAATTACCTTAGAAGTAGGTCATTAAGATTGCTCCTTTTTCGAGTCAAAATCTTGTGGCAAAAACTCTCAATCAATCACCTTAGAAGTAACTCTCAAGATTGCTCAAGTACATGCTAGCGTTGGGATAAGTCTGACCATATAATGAAATGATCCAGACAAGCCTAGAAACAAGTGATGAATATCTGCATGGATGATATTCAGAATTGAATGATAATTAGTGTGGCAGCTCAATGGAGATATGGACATTAGATTCAAGTGTATCCTGTTATTCTTCCTTTTAACAATTTTATGAAAACTATTACATAGACATTATAATAAAGTGTTCCTTGTTGATGACTAGCTCCTAAATATTGTGGGCATTTGAGATGTGTGATAATCAAGGCAATAAGTGACAACACTTTGAAGCAAATAAAATTAGGCATATCTCTGAATTAAGAAGAAACCTGATCCTCATAAAACATCTAAGTGCAAAAAATTTCCATGCTTTTAGTGATAATACTGGAAAAGTGACAAAAAGTGCCTTGGTGATTGTTCAGGGTTATTAGAAAGTTTACCCCACCAGCAGCATTAGAACAATTGAATCAACTACTAATACAGAGGCAGATTGAAATCTATGACATCAATTTTGAAAATAGAATGTTGGCACCGGCGGTTCAAATGCGTGACAGTTAGCGGAGCCATCAAACCTGTGCCGCCGTCTTTTTCTTCATCTTTCTTTCTAGGTGTGTGAAGTGAATTAACACACAATAGCGCGACGAGCATTTAACACAAAATCAAGCAAAAGTATTTCCAAATAGATTTTAAGCAGCATACTTATTTAAAGGAATCAGTTAAGCCCTAATTCTAATTAGACTGATATTAAAATAATCTTAAGCATCTCACGTGGCTAAAACAGCCCAAGGGCGAGAAAATCCCACCCAAGCCTGTAACTGGATTGGATCCGATTTTGTTCTGTTTCGATTCAGCAATTGCGGGATGCGGGAGCTCCCGCGTCAGTTAAAATTGCTATTCACTTATCAAAAAATGATGTTTTTCTTTCTCAAGCAAAGCATACACAACTGAGGCATCACTACTGCATACACAGTTTACTTGAAGCTGATATGTTACAAACTCATCGACATCGAAGGAATAGAAACTCTACTGATGTGCTCACGAAAATGATACATGTTGGAAAAATTAAGATTTTGTGAGGTTTAAGCTAATCTTTGTAAATTATAATATATGGAGGTTCCACACCGGGTTAAAACTCAAACTTCAAGCGAGACGCTTTTAAGTATGGTGTTAAGATTTCAATTATTCAAAATAGGCCTCTTTATAAAGCATTAAATTGTAATTATCACAGAGTCCTAAATAGAGATTATCATAAAGTCCTGAGTAGAAGTTTCAAAAGTCTTCATTAGTGATTGATCATTAATGTTGGAAGATAAATTCATTACTATTTAAAGTCCCATAATCTTCATTTGTAAATCATCCCATGACATATAAGCAAATAGAAAAGGAGAAATGAAGAGAAAGTTCGAAGAGAATGGAGGAAGAAGCTCTTGCAATCTGGGTGATTAATTTATAAATATCAATGTTTCCGGTGATT